TTTTACCAGGCCTGGTCAGTTATTCAAGTTTGCATTCAAAATGGCGGAAGGATGTCTGAAATTTCTTGTCGTCATTTTCTGGAGTTTTTGCTCATCTCTGGCTTTAAAAGACCACTTTCATGAAGAGCTTCTCATCAAACCTTTAGCAACAGGTCATGTGTATACGTATTTTCAGTTTACAACGTTATGGGATGTGGATATCAAAGATCACGAGGCTTGTGAGTACAGTTGAAACATTCAAGTTTYAAATACAATGTACGCGTACAACATTAAACTGTTTACTGGGTACAGCTTTTTCCTAATATGTTGCTGAATTTCACACTTCTCGCAGAAACTAACTARTGCAAGCWAATCTTCATTGGTAGACATTCKAGGGTCACCTTAAAGTTATTTTTCTTGTTCGTTTCAGTTTCACATTTTGATCTTTTCCCAAAGTCCTTTGGCCAAATTGTTGATAAGTATTCTGTAGAGGAACTGCACTTGAGTCTGACACAGGGTCATTGGAAGAGTGATCTTTGGGGATACCCAGTAGTATCTGCACCACCAGGGGCGGAACTATGGGTGTGGTTCCAGAACAAAGTCAGAGACAGGTAAAACTTAACTAAAAAAATATTTGATGAAAGAAATATGCATGTCCAAATGTTTTGCTTTTTACTTTTATTTTTAATTTGATTTCTTTTGATTGTAGCGTGAATGAAAACTGGACTGGCCTAACGCAAGCGCTATCTGGCCAATWTTGTGCTTCGTTAAACTTCATTGATACTAAAACCACAGTTTCACCAAAGTTTTCATTCAGAAGAGAAGGTGTAGCAACATCTGATAGTCTAAACTCATCACTACTGAGATATTCAGCACTGGGAAGAGAGATTGTTTGYACAGAGAATCTCACTCCATGGAAGAAACTCTTGCCTTGTGATTCAAAGGTGCATTGAAAAGTTTTAAATCGTTTTCTTTGAGATTTAGATCATGAAAATAGAGTATATCAATGATATACCAAAAGTGACAAGTCATTCAACAAGTCATCAGTGTAAAACTACTTGTAAATATGTGTATGATTAAATAGTTTTAACCTAATGTATTTCTATCATGTATCCTCAATACTCTTTTAGGCTGGCATTGCAACCTTGTTCAATGCTTTGTATATATATGAAGCCAATTATCACTCAATGGGTATTCATTTAAGGCCTGTGTGTAAGGTAAGAAAGATAAAATATGGCTAATGTTGCTGTCATTTACATGTACTTATGTTTCACGTTTGGGTAGCTGTTATAATTTGACATACTGATGCATCGACTGTCTCTTACATCACCTCTCAATTGYTCATAGGATTCAGCTTGTCAAACGTTATCCCTGGAATTAAAGCAGACAGTCTCAATTGTATTTGACCCTTTGCTCAGAAGTCCAACAACACTAGGTGAAATTTTAACTTGAACCATTGAAACTCTATTCTTTGCAACCAGTATAATCGAAAAGCATTTATTCTCTTGTACRGTTTAAAAATAAAATATGCTACTCCTGGAACACTTTCTCTCGTCCTCTCAAAGTTTTATTTAGAATTGTATCATTGTCTTTGTTTTKTAGACTGGTCTTTCAGAAAGTTATTTGCTCAGGTCATCCGTTCTGAATGCCCTCTTTCCTCMYCAAGTAGAGTGYTTGTAGATATTACAAGGAACAGTGTAGGTGGAATTCTTTTCATGTACATCGTGTTGTGTGTTGAAACAGTTAGAGAAGGTCTACTCACTTAATCTAGCAAACAAACAGTGTACTAATTAATAATATGATGTTACTTATTGATACTGGAGAAAACAAGGGAATTACACGTGCCTTAATAATGGTATCATTGTTTGTAGACTGGTAATAGGTTTACACTGAAGCCTCCACCAGCAAATACAATTACAAGGAAAATGCCTGGGGAAATGGATCAACTTTATGCTGTGTATGAAGTCAAGGATTTAGGTATTTATRATTATTATTCTTTTTTTGTTGTAATTSCTGTTTGAGTTGTTAATAACACCTTTGTTTCTGTTCWTCTTGCTGCTTCAGCTCTCTCCATTCCCTACTTCCCTTTAGTTTCCTTCAGAAGCCCAAGAACAGGAGAGGCTGTAAAATAGACTACAATCTTTTGCAAAATTGTGTGAAACACTGTCTGTGATTGTGTYACTGCAGCATCCCCTCCCMTTTTACAATGTTGCGCGCCAATGAATTGCTACAAAATAGACAAGGAGAGGAGGAAAGGGGGCAGGGCGTTCCATTTATTTTGCATTAGATTGAAGCTTTCCTTTTATAAGCACTATGAATGTTAATTTGATACTTAAATGTGTTTTTGTGTCTTTCAAAATTRATACAGTCAGCTCAAAAAGTGAAGGAAATATTGTATTCAAATGGAAGGAAAGATATAGCAAAGGTATGCCACTTTGATGTAATTACATTATTTTTCTTTATAACTATCTTGTTATAATATTGTTTCTTTTTATTATAGTCCACCCACCACAACTTCATGCTCATAGGTTTATAACAGGTGAGGTCAACGATCATCCTTCCATTCATTCAGTCATCCTTTTAACCATTCATTCATGTTTTCATTTCTAAATGCATTCTTTTATTTCTTTATTTTTTCATCCATTTATGACAAATCCCTTCTTGTCATTAATCAGCTATGCATTATATAATATTTTCTACTTGCCTCTGTTCTGTCTCCTTCTAATATACCTGACCATCACTACACATGTAAAATTGCCAGATAACTCATTATCTTCTGCTGTTTTCAGTTTTGCTTTTGTTCTTTTAGGATATGGAGAGAAGAAGGGAGGAGTTAACTGTTTGATATACAACAACCACCCATCAAAACCACTTCAGGTTGTCTACTTTGAAACCTTCCCTTGGTTTGTTAGGATATTTCTGCACACACTCAAGATTGAAAACAATGGAAAAACCATCAAACCAGGTGAGATAAAAACCACTACAAGTAAACACAAGGTTATTTCTTCACAAAAGTAAGAACAGAATTACTGGTTTATTGTTGATGAATTGACGTCTGAAATCCTCCATGGTGTTGTTTCCTTTTACCATCTGAGATAAAGATGCCAGCAAAGCTTTCACAGGACTCACCATCTTTCCACAACCCTTTCAAATAMATGYTTTAATAATTCWACACTATTCTACTTTGTCTTCTTTGTTTCAGAYAAGYTACATGTTATTCCAGCAAAAGACAGAGAAAGGTCATACATCATCGARCTTCTKTTCACTTTGCCTGCAAATTCRGTAACAAAGATGAGTGTACAATTTGAAAGAGGATTTTTGAAGTGGACAGAACATCCACCAGAYGCTCATCATGGGTTTTATATTAGGTAGGGAAAATATTGCTTTGACACAATTCATTTGTTATAGATTAATGCTATTTCATTAWTTATTAACTTTGGTATAACAGTTCATCAGTGATATCTGCAAGGTTGGACACCCTAGCCAATTTAACTGCTGGTCCACTCAAATTTTCTCTTCTCTTTCCAAGGTGAGTAAATTGCAAATGTTCAAAAAAAACATTGCCAAACTAGTTCTGATAAAATTGATAATCAGTGACTTTGAATTGAACATAATATTATGTAAAACTACATTTTAGAAAATCAGTTTAAATTTCTAATTTTGCAGGTCAGCAACAAGAAGTGATAACAGCGATGGCTTTGTAAGAYTCCACACAGAAACTTTACTTCTTGCTCTGCCCACACCAGACTTTAGCATGCCTTACAATGTTATATGTTTGACTTGCACTGTTGTAGCCATTGCCTTTGGCTCTTACCATAACCTTTGCGTAAGACGATTTGAAGATATCGACAGCAAAGAGGYAAATGCATCTCCTTTGGCTAGACTCAAGGTTCAACTTGGAAAGGTTAAAGAAAAGATATTTGGCTCCAAGAAAGYKGRTATATCAGARGAAAAGAAGACAAAATAAGTTGTGGAAAATAATGGTGTACACTGCAAGTTTTGTGTCAGAAGATGAGGACAGCAAAAACCATGAAAGAAGARAAAGACCTACWGTAGTAATCATGGAAAATGATGTWCTCAGTACTCAGGAACACTTCTTGAAAGTTGATATTAAAATAAAATCTTCACATCATCAAACTGTGTATTACAGTTGAAGGAAAAATGTTAAAGGTCTAAGTTCTCAAGGAATATCTGCAGTTTAATATTAAATATTAAATTGCAGATATTCCTTTAAGA